AGATAACAATGACAACAATTATTTGACATATATAAAAAGTAATTCGTCACAATGGACATACACTGGCACTGAACAGGATGGCCCTATATGTCACCATGTTAATTCTCTAAAATGTCCTTGCAATGTTCCTTCAGTGTCCACTGAGGCTTGGTTCCAGGATTCTCCCCTCTACCCTGGAAGCTCAAAACCCTTTCCATAGAATGGATAGGTATTTGTATAGAGTTCACACAACCCCTCCCATGTTATTTAAGTCATCTCTAGATTACTTATTATGCCAATACAAAGCAAATGCTACGTAAGCAGTTGCAATATTGTCTGTTTAGGGGATAATGGCAAGAAGAAAGTCTGTCCATATTTAGTATACCTGCTTTCTTTTTAAAACAAACTTTTATTGAATATTTCAGAATTTCACAAAGCACATCCCAATCACCCTTCCTTCCCAGTCCTCCCAGGCCTGGCTCCCACCCTTATACCACCCCCAAAAAAGATAAAGAAAAGTCCAATTTGTGTTGTCCACATAGTCACTGAAGCATGGTCAAACTCCCGGTGGCCAGCCCCTTAAAGAAAAGTGAGTCCTTCCCTGTCCCCACCCTACCCCCAGTAGCCCTCTATTGTGGAGAGATACACTTCAGCATTCCTACCACAATTTTTAGAATTCTCTTCAATAGCTTCCCATCTAGGTTGTTACTTTTGGGGGTGGGGTGGGGGTCACAGAAGCCCTCCATGTCTCCCCGTCTCAACCATGAGTCTGCAGTCATTGACAACACCACAGATGAAGCCTCCCTGTCCTCCATAGTCAGCAGGAATAGGCATCAGGGACTTTCACGTGATATCCAGTGACAGCACAGACCATGGACATCCACCTGGCCTCCTGCATCAGCACATGCTTCGTACCTCAGCATGGTCTCCAGTGGCAGTATAGGCCACAGACACCAACATGGTCCCCCGTGGCAACCTGGCCCATGGATATCAACATGGCCTCTCACATCTGCCTGGCCCCTAGCAGCACCACGGCCCATGGACATCAACATGGCTTGAGGCAGTGGCATGGACCATGGACATCCCCATGGCCTTTGGTGACAACATGAGCCATGAACATCATCAATATGACCCTCAGCTGTATACAGTGGTAGTACAGACCACAGACATCAACACAGCCCTCTGCCACAGCTTAGGCCACAGACACTGTCATAGTCCTTGGTGGCAGCATAGGCCATGGACCTCAACATTGTCTCTGGAGCAACAGGGGCCACAGACACCAACATGGTTCCTGGCAGCTGCCCGGCCCCCAGACATCAACATGGTTTCAGGCAGCATCACAGATACAGAATCACAAGTTATAAAAATAACTTTAATATTGACTTGGGTATAAACAAGTTCCTTGTTAAAGTGAACATAAAACACAATTAAATCAGTTCAAAGAGAAGTGAGTTTATTAAAGGTGGCATTGCAGATGAGTTTTTCATCTTGTTTTGTGAGGTAGGGTACTGCTATGGAATCCAAATTGGCCTCGAACTCACTATGTAGGCCAGACTCAAGATCTTTCTGCCTCAGTCTCCCAAGTGTTGGTATTACAGGTATCTGTCATCATACCTGATGCAAATGAGTTTTCAAAGGATGGAATATTTGACCAGTGATTTGTGGACAACTGTCTGTTACTGTAGAAGGAAGGACAGAATAAACTCACCTTATCCCTGTATAAATACAAACTCTGGGAGAAACTAAGAACTACATGTAAAACAAAGCCAAAAAAATCTATAAAGGCACCAGAGAAAATTTAGTGTAATGTATTTATAGTTAGAAGATAAAAAGGAGTTCTTGGAGGCTGGGAATCTAGTTCTAGTGGCAGAACACTTGCCCAGCATGCACAAATCCCCGGGTGCAATCCATAGCATCACATAAACTAGGCATGGTGTTGCATGTCTCTAGTCGGGAAACTTGGGAGGTGGAGGCTAGAGAACCAAAGGTTCAAGGTCATTCTCAGCTATAGAAGCGAATGAGGCCAGCCTTTGCTACATAAAACACCATGTGTGAGTGCATATGGAAGCCAGAGGTCAGGGCTGGATGTGTCCCCTTCCTCAGTCATGCCCTATTTTTCTGAACAGGTCCTTCAGTGAACCTTTCATTGATTTAGCCAGGCTCCAGGGATCTGCTTGTCTCTGCACCCCCCCAGTGCCAGGACTACAGACGTGTGCCAGCATGACCATCATTTTATGTGGGTGCTGGGCATCTGAACTCAGACTGCCATACTGACTCAGTCAACTGAAAGGGAGAGAGGGAGGCAGGGAGGGGGCACTGGAGAGACAGCTCAGTGGTTAGGAGCACTGTCTGCTGTTCCAGAGGACCCAGGTTTTGTTTCTAGCACCCACATGGTAGTTCACAACCATCTGTAACTCCAGTTCCAGGTGATCCTCCACCTTCTTCTGGCCTCCATGGATAGCAGGCACTCAAGTGGTGCCCAGACATACATGCAGACAAAACATCCATATACATAAAATAATTCTCAAAAAATAAGAATGAATGGAGAGAATTCCCAGTACAAAAATTCAGAGAGAGAAAAAAAACTGATAAATTTAACCACACCAAAATGCAATTTTCAGTCTAGTATTGTGGTACATGCCTTTAATACCTGCACTTGGGAAGCAGAGACAGGCAGATCTCTGTAAGTTCAAAGCCAGCCTGCTCTATATAGTGAGTTCCAGGACAACCAGGGCCCTTCACATGCATAGATCCTGTCTCAAAAACAAACAAAACTAACAACTAACTAACTAACTAAAAACACAAGCAAACAAAATGTAATTTAAAAATATGACAGACTAGGGGAAATATTTTCATCTTCATCATATAGATCAATAAGTAACATCCAAAGTATATCATAAATCTGAGTAAATAGAAGACACATAAGAGCTGCCACTCAAAGGGAAAACGATCAAATGTGACAAACAGGCAATTCTCTGGAGGAGATATTGGGGGGATCTTATTCTTTTTCTTTAATTGGGCTTCTTTTATTTTTTGTTTATGTCTGCTTTGCCTGCACACATGTCTGTGCACCATGTGTGTGCCTGGTACTTGTGGAGGTCAGAAGAAGGAGTCAGATCCCCTGGAAATGGAGTTACAGACAGTTGTGAACTACTGTGTGGGTGCTGGGGATCACATCTCATGTCCTCCACAATTGCTCTGTTAAGAGCCATCAGTGCTCTTAACCACTGAGCTATCTCTGCAGCCCCAGGAATCTTGTTTTTTTTTTTTTATTAGTATTCAAAACTGTCCCAAGGGGATGAGAAAACTCCCTATCATTCTGTCTTTCTGCTTTTTGGCCTAAAGCAGGAGTACAGTTGTGGGAAGTAGCAAACTAAAAACTGGGCTTTAGTCACAGCCAGAAAACCAAAATGAGAGGCCCTGGGAAACAGGAAGTTAGAGGAGGGTGCAAAGAATGAGGAACTGGGTGCAGATACTGTCTATAGAATCCCAGGTTCACCTCTAACTATGAATGCATGGATCTGTGTTGGAGATCATTTTTAGATTCCTAGTGGCTTTACCCAGCAGGTCTGCATAGAAAGGATGATTGGACCACGGGCCTGAGTACAGGTGTCTGGGATGGTCTGCACTTGGCTGTTTTGGAGGGAGGTCTTTTGCTCCACCCCTTGGCATTCCTTTAAATTCCCTAGGGCAGAGACAGTCGAGGACCGATGGATTAGGATCCAAGCCCTTTCCAGGCTATCCTGTATTTTCTATCTTTTTCTCTCCCCTCTATCCTTCCAAGTAATATTTCCTGCTGCTTCTACTCAAGAGTATTTTGGGGAAATGTGGGGGTGAGGGATAGCCCACCCCACAGATGGTGCTACTAAACAGGGACTAAGACAAAAAGAATATATATATATAATATATATGTATATATTATATATATAATATATATACAGAGTACTTGCTGAAAAGTAGGAGTTAGGCCCTGCCAGTTAAAGCAGTTGGACCGGTCCAGTTTTGTAGTGAAAAAAGTTAAATGGGGCAGGGGGTTTTATCCTCGGGAGAAAAAGAAAAAATGGACTGGAAGGATGTCCAAATATAAGACTGCAGCATAGAATCTTCTCTATAAAGATTTCTCTCTTTCTGTATCTCTCTTAATTTCTATGAAAAGAAAAAACTTAATCTCTCTCTAAAAAAACTGAGAAGCCTTTCAGAACTTTCTCAGTTTCTCTTTCTATGAGAGAAAAATTAGATTCACCTGGATCTCTATGGGAACATCACCTGTGGTTCACTCTAAGAAGAAACAACAAACCCCTTAGGACAGGGCAAAACCTCTCTGCTAAGTTCTGTCTTTCTTTCAAGCCAGGAAATGCAGCAGCCAAAAGTTCCCTACAGTTAGAGCCTAGCCAAAAAAAAAAGTGCAGGTAGAAAGTCGAAGCAGGGACAGATTCCCCAAAAGGTGAAGAGATGGGGGAGGGGCTGCTGGTGAGGGGAGAGGGCAGGCTGAGAGCTGCCAGGAGCCAAGGGAACTGCCTCCATTGATGGGAGGAGTTACTACTGAGGAGGAGGCAATGAAGCCTGGCTGCAGATGCAGCTGTACTGCCAAATCAGGGACATAAGCTACAAGACAGAGAAACTCTGTCTTTAATTTTCTAAAACAGCAGTCAGAATGCCCCGAGGTTAGATAGAACTTAGCCATAATATTTGCTAAGGTAGTCCTATAGAGTTTCTTTAAGAATATAAGCTTGTGCCAGGCAGTGGTGGCACACATCTTTAAATCCTAGCACTGGGAGGCAGAGCCAGGTGGATCTCTGTGAGTTCCAGGCCAGCCTGGTCTACAGAGCGAGATCCAGGACAGGCACCAAAACTACACAGAGAAAACCTGTCTTGAAAAAACCAAAAAAAAAAAAAAAAAAAGAAAGAAAGAAAAAGAAGAAGAATATAAGCTTATATGAAGTATAAATAAAAGTTCTGAAGTGTCCACTGAGCTCTCCAGACCACAATTCCCTTGGCCTCCTTCTCATGAAAAGACCAGGATGTGGAATAGCGGATTCAAAAGCTTTGGCAGCTCCAGCTATGGCAGAGCAGGCGGCTACATGCAGTCCCGTGGAGGCTTTGGCTTGCCCACCCCTTCACAGGCTGAGAAGAAATCGAGCACATTGTGCCCTGTACCATATCTCAGCTGCTTTGTGCTACTCTGACTGACGAAGTGTTCAAAATTAGGAATGTTGAGATTTCACAGGTCACTATTGTGGGAATAATCAGACATGCAGAGAAGGCTCCGACCAATATTGTTTATAGAATAGATGATATGACTGCTGCACCCATGGATGTTACCAGTGGGTTGACACAGATGATGCCAGTGGTGAAAACACTTTGGTTCCTCCGGAAACATACGTGAAAGTGGCTGGCCACCTCAGGTCTTTCCAGAACAAGAAGAGCTTGGTAGCCTTTAAGATCATTCCCCTGGAAGATATGAATGAGTTCACTGCACATATTTTGGAGGTGATCAATTCACACATGATGCTCAGCAAATCCAACAACCAGCTTTCAGCAGGGAAACCATCTATCAGCAACCCAGGAATGGGTCAGTCAGGAAACTTCAGTGGGAATAACTTCATGCCAGCAAATGGCCTCACTGTGATCCAAAACCAGGTGCTGAATTTGATCAAGGCTTGCCCAAGACCAGAAGGATTGAACTTTCAGGATCTCAGGAACCAGCTCCAACACATGCCTGTACCCTCAATCAAGCAAGCAGTGGATTTTATGTGCAATGAGGGGCACATTTATTCTACTGTGGATGATGATCACTTTAAATCTACAGATGCAGAATAACTAGGCTTATTAGGTATCTGAAATATTTCCTGTTTTTCCATCATCTGTTGTCTCCAGCTCTGTAGGTTTTGGCCAGTGGCTTCTAGGACAGAAGTTTCATTGAGGAGGTCTCATCTTATGTCCTCTTGAAACTTACTGCTGTTCTGTTTTGTTGTTTGTTGTTTAGAGGCTCAAAAAGGGATAGACAGTTGAGAAGGAAGTAAACCAGGGTGGGATTCCTTAACAGAAATTCCAGATAAGCTAGTCAGGACTCCAGGCTGGATGGACGAGATTGAAAGAGGAACACAACCCAGAGAACAGGGCAGAACTGTGTCATGCTTGGGAGCTTGTGTTCTTGAAAGGCTTCCTGCTGAATAATAATAAGGCCACAGGCCACAAAAAGAACCCACTACCTTCTGCCTATTTTTGTTTCCCACTCTGGGTCTGTGGTGTTACTCTCAAAATTGCACTTTCCTTCCACTTGTCTTGCCCACAGCTGAAAGTGGTTTAAATGAGCATGAGGTTCTGGTGTGGGGTCTCACAGGGCAGAGAGGAAGAAATGTTACTGCATTGTTTGTAATATAAATGTCCATATGTTTAATAAAACAGTTTGGTGTAATTTTAAAAAAGTATAAATAAGTATATGTTGAATGTTAGTTTGTGAAAAGTATAAATGTTGAATGTGAGTCTAAATGCTTAATGTAAATACATGTAGTAAATGACCATGCTAGTTGTAATGTAAGTTTAAATAAGAAGTGTAAATAAAGTAAGTCAGAGAAATGTAGGTTTAGAATAAGCTTTAGGCATAAAGATATTGTGTAGGCTTAATAAGGTAGGATATACGCTTTAGGTCTAGGGAAGGTTTAATAGAGGGATTAGAGTAGGTTTTTCCCAACATGAGATGCTGAAAACATCATCCATAGCAGACCGCAAATTTGGCAGTTACAAAAGCCACCAATAATAACAAGAAGCAGGTTCAGAGACTGCTAGCTTCAGAAAACAACAGCAGAACATGTGCAGCTGAGACCTGTGGAGCATCATAGCTTCTCAAGCAGCAGATGCCAAGAGCCAGTACAAGCAGTGCAGTCAGAGAGTCTTGGAAGCTGAGACCCTCAAGGCATCAATGCAGTGCAGGTGGAAGATGCACAAGGGTCTACAAGCTTTCCACCGAAAGGAAGCCACAGTTAGAAGTGGACACACTAAGCTACAAGAAAGGCTGAGGGCAGGCAGCAGCTTGGAAATCCCAGCTGAGATGCTACACCACGAGAAAGTCAAATAGTAGACAGTGGCATGGAGAGCCCAGCAGCCTGTATCACCTCGGAAAAGGTGAACAGTGAGCAGCAATGAGCTACAGAGACTGCAGAAACCAGAATGCTTCTGAAGGCCAAGAGCAGAGGGGTGTCAGTGCCAGATGAGCAGCTGAGACATGGGGGAGCCCAAGAAGCTTTGGAGGTGAAAGCATGCTCCAGGCTGAACAGCCAGACAGGGGATCTGTGGAAACTGCTGAATGCTCTGAGACCCAGTTTGCTGAGCACTTGGACCATCAGTGAAGCAGGTAACAGGACCCTCCCAAAGCCAGGATTGCTGTGGGAGGGCCACAGTTCAGCTCTGTAGCAGCTGAAGAAGGGTTGAAAGCTCTCTAGCCTGGTCTGGGAATGGCCTGGTTATGGAAGGCACAGATAGACTGGGACTGTGAAAGCCACAAAAGCCTGAAACAGAGCTAGCAGCAAAAATTTTGCAGTATCTGTTTGCTGGCTGTGCAGAAAGCTTTTTGAAAGAGCTCATAGCAACTCGGTTACTATAGCAGTTACTTCACCCAGAGGCTAACTTTTCCTGGGGATAAAAATGTCATAAAATGCTGCTGTAACTGAAAGGGACAGAGGTCCCTGAGAATGAAAGTTGCAGAGATGCTTGTTTGAACTAAAATTGTTAACTGCAAAAAGATTTTGGTTGTGAGAAACGTTTCTTCATATTTGGAAATGGAAGTCTAACAGAACTCTTTTTGAACCTAAGAAATGAAATGAACAGTAGTGATTTCATTGCAATGGTACCTATGTATATAGACTCTATCAACACTGATGATTTATGGAACTGTATGTAAAAATGGAACTGCTTTAAAGTGGAACTGTTTAAATAGAAAAGTTTGGGGGGATTTTTCTAAAAAAAAAGTAAAGAAAAGGGAGAGTGTTAATATTTCTCAGTCTATTTAATTTAAAAATATTTTAGCATTATTTGAGTGAATTAATGTCACGTTTTGTATAGCTTTATTAAGAAATTGTTTTTGTATGTAGGTTGGTAAGAAAGTACTAATGGTTATATTGAGAATATTGCCTTTGAATGTATGTTTGTAGGAATTATAATGGTGTATAGTAATGTTCATGTTAGAACTATTATGTTAACCTATTGATATTAATGCACCATGGTTTGGTGAACTTAAGGAAGTATTTAAGTTTGAGGTGAATACATCAGAAGTTTATCCTATGTTTTGTTAGCAAGAAATTCAAATGGTTCTATTAAGAGTTTGCTTTAAGTTGTAAAAGTGAGAGAATTGTAACTATGTATAGCAATATTTAGCAAGAATTATGTTAACCTGTTAATGTTTTTTATTTATTTATTGTTAAGAAACTTTCTATTCTGGGCTGGAGAGATGGCTCAGAGGTTAAGAGCACTGGCTCTTCTTCCTGAGGTCCTGAGTTCAATTCCCAGCAACCACATGGTGGCTCACAACCATCAATAATGAGATCTGGTGCCCTCTTCTGGCCTGCAGGTGTACACGCAGGCAGAACATTGTATACATAATAAATAAATAAATCTTTAAAAAAAAAAAAGAAACTTTCTATTCATTTTACATACCAACCACAGATCCCCCTCTCCTCCCTTCTCCTGTCCCCAAACCCACCTTCCCATTCCCACCTCCTCCAAGGCAAAGTCTCCCATGGGGAGTCAGCAGAGCCTGGTACATTCAATTGATGCAGATCCAAACCCCTCCCCCCAGCACCAAGGCTATGCAAGGTGTCCCACCATAGGCACTGGGCTCCAAAAAGCCAGCTCATGCACCAGGGATGAATCCTGATCCCACTGCCTGGGGGTCCCCTAACCAGTTCAAGCTAAACAACTGTCTCACCTATCCAGAGGGCCTAGTCCAGTCCCATGGGGGCTCCACAGCTATTGGTCCACAGCTCTTGAGTTTCCACTAGGTTGGCTGGCCATCTCTGTACATTTTCCCATCATGATCTTGATGCCCCTTGCTCATAGAATCCCTCCTCACTCTGTCATTGATTGGACTCCTGGAGCTCAGCCTGGCATCTGGTTGTGGATCTCTGCATCTGCTTCCATCAGTTACTGAATGAAGGCTCTATGATGACAATTATAACCTGTTATTGTTAATGATTAAGCTAAGGGAGTTTTTAAGTGTGATGCAATTGCATCAAGAGTTTTTTTTATTTAGAGGGCTTGATGCAGCTAAGACTGCTATAGTCACCTTAGACCCATTCTGAAAAAGAAATGCCATCTTTATCATCCTCTACTCCTGTACTGGGAGGTGTGACAGCTATGGAGATTGCTATGAGCTCTTAATGGGGAGTTGTTTTTTATATATTAAAAAGAGGGGACCTTTTGGAGCCCATTTTTAGGTTTCTAGTGGCTTTACCAAGCAGGTCTGCATAAAGGGAATGATTGGACCACAGGCCTGAGTACAGGTGTCTGGGATGGTCTGCACTTGGCTGTGCTGGGGGGAGATCTTTTGCTCTACTCCTTGACATTTCTTTAAATACCCTAGGGCAGAGACAGTTGAGGACCAATAGATTAGGATCCAGGCCCTCTCTAGGCTATCCTGTATTTTCTATCTTTTTCTCTCCCCTCTATCTATATCTATAACTAATATCTCCTGCTGCTTCTACTCAAGAGTACTCTGGGGAAATGCAGGGGTGAGGGATGGCCCCCCATAGATATGACCCTAAAAACACACCCAAACATCCAACAACCACAGAAAGAGTGAGGCTAGATGCCCCAGAATAGAACACCTGACCAGCAAAGGCAAAGGTTTTGAAAATGGAGCTCACTTCAAAAACAAAAACTCCAGAAGCCAGGTTCGAATTTACAGGCACATCCCAACCGAGTTGATAGGCTCTAAAAGCCAAGAGCCTATCCACTGTTCTCTAGAGAAATTAAAGCAGACTTGGATTTGATACATCATATTTAAGATGACCAGAACACAACTCAAAATGGCCTGGCACACAAAAAGCAGGAAACTCTCAAATGGGGAGAGACAGCAGTGAGTGCCAGCATCAATATGACATGGATACTGAGATTATCTGACAAAGACTTGAACAGCTGTCATAAAATGCTCTAAAGTGAGAATGTGCCTTCTTCAAATGGATGGAATTGAAGATTTAAAGAAAAAACACATGAGAATTTCAGATCTAACAGTTTTTGGTTTTGTTTCTTTGTTTGGGGTTTTTTTGTTTTTTTGAGACAGAGTTTCTCTGTGTAACAGTCCTAGATGTCCTGAAACTCAATTTGTAGCCCAGGATGACCTCAAACTCCCAGTGATCCATGAGACTCTGCCTCCCAAGTGCTGGGATTAAAAGTGCTGGGAATTTCAGATCTAAATAATACAACAAGCAAAATAAAACCTTCCAGGATAGACTAGGAGGCAAAGGAGATGACAGAGAAAACAAATAGACCCTGAAAGTAGATCAGTAGAAATTATCCAATCTGAAGAAAGGAGAGAAAAATTAAAATAACATTTTAAAAGAAAAAAAATAGAGCCAGTGAAGCTGTGGGGTAATTTGTGTCATTGAAGTTGCAGAAGGACAGGCAGACACGGAATAGAAACACACACACACACACACACACACACACACAAACACACACACACACACACACACACACACACACACACACACACACACACAGAAGTTGAACTCTCTCCAAACAGTTCAGTAAACTGAAAAAGTAAATGCCAAGAAATCATTTCATCAAATTGCCTCAAGCTAAAGACAAGTGGAAAAAATCTTGTAAACACAAAGTAAAAACAAAAACATAGCATCAAACGACTGATTTCTTTTCAAAAACCAAAGCAACAGGAGAGAATGAAATGACATTTTGAACATGATGTGTTCTGATGGTGCAGATGTTTCTGAACTTCTGACTGTGTTGAAATTCATACAATGACACACAGAAAAAAAAGTAAAATTCTCATGTTAAAGAA